TGCCATCCAGATGGCTAAACTCTAAACGAACACGCCAGTGTTTAGTGTTGCTCAGTTAGTTCTAAAAAACCTGAAACATAGGCCTACTTATATAAAAACCGTTACAGTTACTTGACATGATGTTTTAGATATTTTGTTGATCTAGGCAATGCCTCCCTGAACAAGATGCCTGAATGACAACACAACATTCTTCGCCGTTTTTTTCGGGTTTGATACGATTCCAAATTCTTACCCAATTTCATACTATAATTTATTATTTATAATGACATCACGCAAGCAGCTTTTTATTTCAGACTTTTTTTTCTCGATGGGGGGGGGGGGGGGGGGGGGGGGGGGGAGCGGACACTGGTAAAAGTATATATTTAAAATTATTTTCTATATGAATTCTATTTATTTGGGGGGGGGGGGGGGTTAACGTTCTTCGTGAGGCTCCACCCCCCCCCCCCCCCCCTTCAGACGAGTTGCCTGGAAGAAACAATGCATCCCCGGTCAAAAAGGAAAAATGTATAGGCCTATTGTATGTAGAAAATAAATACTTTAACCAGTGTCCGCCCAATCCCCTCCCCTGGAAAGTTCAAGTTCACCCCTCCTCCTGGAGAAAAATATCTAAAAGAAGCCGTGCTACAATTAGTACGTGTTCAACGGTTTTGATACTGACCGTTTTAAAAGCGGATTTTGTATTTTTTAAAATGTGATTATAAAGGAAATAAACGCACAAACTTTTTATAGATAGCTTCCCTTTATTTCATTTGCCTGTTGCTAAAATAACACGCACGTGCTAACAGCTGAACTAGAGGGCGTGGGGAGGGATGGGGGTTACACACAGCCGTGTCGTATAAACTGGTGAACACTTTTTACTGTCATAATATTCTATCCCCTACACTACACCATTAGAAGTTTTGAACCCACCTGTGTGGGCATGTGGTAAATCTACACACGTCATTGCTAAGTGGGTGTGTTGATTTGTTAGGTCTCAAGGTGGCAGAGTATTCTACTTGAACTTAACTTTAATGCAAACTCAACTGCAAACAGAATTTTAACAGAAACAAGTTTTAATGATACGGTGTCAAAAAGTATAGATCTACTAATTTGAAGTAGATCTATTAGGTATGTTAATGTTTTGCTAATGACATTGGCCTACACATTACTTTACTTGTGCATCGGGAATATTGAAGTATTGATTTGTACTAGATCTAGGTCTAGATCTAGATCTATCTATACACTTTTCTTCACTATACAGTTTTGCAATAACTGTTTTTGATAGTTTTTATTTATAAAGTTCGGGAAAACGTTATTTTTAAGCTCTAGATTAGAAATAGGATAAGATTTCAACTTTGTATTTTATCCCTCTGTTGTTGTTTTTTTTAAAAACTAAACGTATAGTATCTAGATCTAGATTATGAATATTTAATATAGATTTACCTCCCTAGTTAACTCTCATCTACTAATTTCGAACTTAACAGTTATTTAAAGCAGAATGTTAACAAAACAGAACTAACTTTATTTTGTGAGAACCAGTTTAGAGCTTAATCTAATCATCCATTAATATTTATATAATAATAAAGTATACTATTTATATTATTAATCAAATATATTTTGAGATGGGCTTTTGCCAAGCACAAAATCTATTGATATGGTCTCTTCATTGTTTAGTAATGACATTAGTAATTTTGCCAAAAGGTAAACATTTTTTCAGATAAATAATTATGCATTTTGTTTAATTTGTAATATATTTACTTACAGGTAACCTCACAGCAGCTGTTCTATTTTCTGGCACCTGCCTAGATAGACGTCAGCCATGTCTAACCAGCACAAACCACCCACCACAACCCCCAGCTATTTCCCACCACCACTGAACTACCACCCCATGCAGTACTATTTGAATGGACCAGTCCTACAGAGCGGCCAACCAGGCCCACACAACTACCCTGGGATGTCTTTGTTCAACTCCATGGCTGGCTCCAGTAATGCTCTACACCCAGCCAACTATGCTGGCAACGCTATGTATACTTCAGCCTTGGCCAATGCAGTTCCTCATAGATTTCCATTTGCATCTCAGAACAACCAGGACCTGTCTAAAATGATGGCAGCAAATGAACAAGCTAAAATGTACAACACAGCAGTCTCCTCTAACTCGGCTTATTTGTACAGTGACAATTCTCAAAAAGGTAACTCACGGCCATCTAGTCCAGCTAATGGTGGGTCGTTTAAGACTAACCCTAGTGCACCAAGCAGAACCAACACACCTGGGTTGGTACAGACAAAAACACCAAGCAGAAACAACACACCAGGTGCATACAGCTACTTCGGAGAAACCCAGGCACCAGGTGAGCCGATAGATCTCAGGCTAGAGAATTTTAACGGCCAGAATTTCCAGTCTAAGAACCTGCCGGCAACAAAATTCACCACCGGCACCAAAAAGGAAACTGATGGTCCTTCTACAAACGTCAGTGGGTCAAGAGACACACGCCCCCACCATGAGCGTGACGAGAACCCTCCAACAAACCCAGGTAACCAGATGTTAAACTCGCTATCACAAGATCATCCAAAGACTTCAGCTCCGTATGGTGCTGACTACTACAAGATGCTGTCCGCCTACCCGTACCTTCCATACATGATGAACAGCCAAGCTCTGGCATCTAACACAGCAAGTCCTTACGCCTGGCCACTGCCTGCTCTGGCTTCAATGTCTGGGTACTACCCCCAGCTTGGCTCCCAAAGTGCTAACCTCTTACAGCTGCCCATGGGTCAGTTTGCTTTGAATACACAACAAGGTTTTATACCACAAAACATTTGGAATCCCGTGCTGGGTCAAGTAAATTCTGGCCAAACAAACCGAGCAGCTTCCCCGGCCAGAGTTGAAGCACCACAAATGTATGGCCAGAACAATGGTGGCCCACAGTATCCCACATCAGCCCAGAACTCGCAACTAATGTCAGCCTTAGCTTCACATCAGTTCATCAGGTCGTCAACACCAAAGGACAATGGTCATTCTGCTAAATCCACAAGACTGGACACAGTCCAGGAGCCCGCAGGTAACCAGAGTCCAAAGTCCACACCAAAAAGAGCTAGAGCAACAAATGCTAGGTCAAATAAGAGGGCTGCAAAAAATGTAAATGGAGACCTGACTCCAGCTAAGGGAAGAAAAAGAAAAGTAGTGGAAATTGAACCAACATATTCACAAGCTAAACAACAAAACTGTGCCACTGATGATCAACAATATCAGTATGGTAGTCAAAATTACTTTCAAAATTCTGGAACAGTTTGTCAAAACATGGCATCACAGTCTGGAAATGTCCAGCAAATGGACAACATTCCACAGACCACAGCTGATGATAACATTGATTACCTAGATAGTGATGAATCCATAGACTTTTCATCCGCAAATAAATTAAATCATAGACTAATGGCAGTAAATGGCCAGGTCAGAAATCAAACTCCAAATGAAAAAGAATCCAATGAAAATGCCAATTTGGCCAGTGACAATAGTAAAAACATTCAAACTTTTTCTCAAAATGAAACCTGTGAAGGCTTTAGTAATCCACATGTAATGACCACATCAGCAGCTAATGGATCAGTTTACCAAGAACCTGAGAAGTTCAATGAACAAGAGGCAGTTGAACAACCAGTGTGTCAAAACAGAACAAACAGCATGGATTTTGAATCTGGCAACTTGGTAATTGATACTACCTGTCCAGGTTCTCCCACATCTGAAGAAGATAACTGCCATGTACCTGGGACCACATGTGAGGCAGATAACTACCACCTACCTCAACACCCATCTGGGGCAGATAACTACCACTCTGGGCACCCATCTGCGACAGATAACTACCATTCTGGGCACCCATCTGGGGCAGATAACTACCTTTCTGGGAACCCATCAGCAAGAGATAACTACCTTTCTGGGCAACCATCTGTGGCAGATAACTACCATTCTGGGCACCCATCTGGGGCAGATAACTACCTTTCTGGGCACCCATCTGGGGCAGATAACTACCATATATCTGGGGCTGTCACTGTGTCAAGTGAATACTACGAGCCTCCAAAGTTGTTGGACAAAGATTATAACATTGTTGATATCACTGATAACAAGTGTACTCCCATTGACTCTTCTAATACTGAATCAAATCAAATAAACACTAACACTGAAGAAAATCATGCAGAATATAATCAAAGGGTTAATCAAGTTCCAGGAACTTTTGAAACATCAGACATAGGTGTTTACAGTAACAGATTGGACTGTGAAACTGCTAACAAAGAAGAAACAAGGCCAGACAGGAGCAATGAAGACCATCAGCATGAAGGTAGGGACAACTCCTATCATCCCATGTTCTATGTTGAAACTAACCTAACAGAAAATCCATCATTCGATCAACCAGGCAGGGTGGAAAGTCCTGAAGAAGTGGATGTTTATCCAACTAAAAGTGACCAAGACCGTGGGAAAGATGTTCATCCATATGACACACAAGTATCTTCAACATCATATTCACCACAGTATTCGGACACCAAAAACATGCAATACAGTGCTGAACCACAGAACACAAGCCGTAGTCCAGAATCACAGAACATAACACATACTCCAGAATCACAGAACACATGTAGCCCAGAATCACAGAACACGCTCCATGGTACTGAATCACAGAACACGCCACACAATATTAAAACCCAGAACACACACAGCTCTGATGAACACCACACAACCTGCCATGAGCCAGCACAAGGTAACAGCCCCCACCAAGGACAGGGCAACCTTTCACAGTCTGTCTATCATTTTAATAGCACCAATCAAGATGGTCGAGCTGATTCAAACTCTTCACCAATAGGCAACTCCTCCATGCCAGGTATTTCCCAGGCAGAATCAATCAGTACACAAGGCCAAAGCAGACTTTTTGGGTTTGATGTAAGAAGCAATCACCAAGTAGCTAAGACAGCTCACCTTGCTCAAGAGAACTCTTCACAGTTTAAGTACAAAGATGGCCACCATGACAAGACACCAGATAGACACACAGAGCAGTACTCCAACTCTCACAACCATGGTGCTATTAACCTGTCTCTAGAAAACTCAGACAAAAACTCCGAAAAGGTTTTACCCTACCCCAGCACTGGCATGAATTATCCAGCCTGGTATGGGAACCCGAGTGGACCCCAGAACTTCCGTGGTGGCCCTGTAGCTCCAGGTGGTCAGCCACAGCCATTAACTGACAAAACCAACACACCTGAGCCACAGAATGATGCAACACAATGGAAGCACCTAGTTCCTCCGTATATGCTACACCCCATGTTCAACGGGCGTAACTTTGATTTTAATACAAATTATAATCTTAGCGGCAACCAGCTACAAAATTCATATTCACATTATTTGGATTATTATTATAATAAGGGTAAATAATTTGAGCATATAATGCGAAACATTGATTTTAATTACTAATTCGATTTGTTTTTAAACATAACCATATACTATACATTGTGTACATAAAAAAATGTTTTAGCGTGTATATTTGTAAAGCATTTCATTTTTCATTTATTGTTTGTAGAAGCATTTATTTCCTTTTTTTTTTTACTTACAGAAAATATTGAGAAAAATGTTGTTGATTCTCTGACGGTGATGGAAAAAAATAAAGCACAAATGTCTTGTAGCAATGTGTTGGTTGATAAAAATGTTGTTGTATGCCAATCTAAACTCTCTTGTAGCAGTTCCACTGATCAAACCAACACTGTGGCTGGGCATGAGCATGTTCCTAAACTGGACTCTGACATGGACATCAGCCAACAGAGTAATCCAGTTGCTGAACAGCAGGTGAAAGATGTTGTTGCATGTGGGATCAATTTGACTGAGCCAGTTTTAAAAATTGGGCCGGATCCTGAAATTGAGCCTGAATCTAAGAATAGACCTGATACAAAGGTTGGGCCTGATCCTGATATTGGGCCTGACTCTAAGAATGGACCTGATGCAAAGTTTGGGCCTGACTCTAAGAATAGACCTGATACAAAGGTTGGGCCTGATCCTGAAATTGGGCCTGACTCTAAGAATAGACCTGATACAAAGGTTGGGCCTGATCCTGAAATTGGGCCTGACTCTAAGAATGGACCTGATGCAAAGTTTGGGCCTGACTCTAAGGATGGACCTGATGCAAAGGTTGGGCCTGACTCTAAGAATGGACCTGATGCAAAGGTTGGGCCTGACTCTAAGAATGGACCTGATGCAAAGGTTGGGCCTGACTCTAAGAATGGACCTGATGCAAAGGTTGGGCCTGACTCTAAGAATGGACCTGATGCAAAGTTTGGGCCTGACTCTAAGGATGGACCTGATGCAAAGGTTGGGCCTGACTCTAAGAATGGACCTGATGCAAAGGTTGGGCCTGACTCTAAGAATGGACCTGATGCAAAGGTTGGGCCTGACTCTAAGAATGGACCTGATGCAAAGGTTGGGCCTGACTCCAAGAATGGACCTGATGCAAAGGTTGGGCCTGACTCTAAGAATGGACCTGATGCAAAGGTTGGGCCTGACTCTAAGAATGGACCTGATGCAAAGGTTGGGCCTGACTCCAAGAATGGACCTGATGCAAAGGTTGGGCCTGACTCCAAGAATGGACCTGATGCAAAGGTTGGGCCTGACTCTAAGAATGGACCTGATGCAAAGGTTGGGCCTGACTCCAAGAATGGACCTGATGCAAAGGTTGGGCCTGACTCTAAGAATGGACCTGATGCAAAGGTTGGGCGTGAATCTAAGAATGGACCTGATGCAAAGGATGGGCCTGATCCTGAAATTGGGCCTGACTCTAAGGATGGACCTGATGCAAAGGTTGGGCCTGACTCTAAGGATGGACCTGATGCAAAGTTTGGGCCTGACTCTAAGAATAGACCTGATACAAAGGTTGGGCCTGATCCTGAAATTGGGCCTGACTCTAAGAATAGACCTGATACAAAGGTTGGGCCTGATCCTGAAATTGGGCCTGACTCTAAGAATGGACCTGATGCAAAGTTTGGGCCTGACTCTAAGGGTGGACCTGATGCAAAGGTTGGGCCTGACTCTAAGAATGGACCTGATGCAAAGGTTGGGCCTGACTCTAAGAATGGACCTGATGCAAAGGTTGGGCCTGACTCTAAGAATGGACCTGATGCAAAGGTTGGGCCTGACTCTAAGAATGGACCTGATGCAAAGTTTGGGCCTGACTCTAAGGATGGACCTGATGCAAAGGTTGGGCCTGACTCTAAGAATGGACCTGATGCAAAGGTTGGGCCTGACTCTAAGAATGGACCTGATGCAAAGGTTGGGCCTGACTCTAAGAATGGACCTGATGCAAAGGTTGGGCCTGACTCTAAGAATGGACCTGATGCAAAGGTTGGGCCTGACTCCAAGAATGGACCTGATGCAAAGGTTGGGCCTGACTCTAAGAATGGACCTGATGCAAAGGTTGGGCCTGACTCTAAGAATGGACCTGATGCAAAGGTTGGGCCTGACTCCAAGAATGGACCTGATGCAAAGGTTGGGCCTGACTCCAAGAATGGACCTGATGCAAAGGTTGGGCCTGACTCTAAGAATGGACCTGATGCAAAGGTTGGGCCTGACTCCAAGAATGGACCTGATGCAAAGGTTGGGCCTGACTCTAAGAATGGACCTGATGCAAAGGTTGGGCGTGAATCTAAGAATGGACCTGATGCAAAGGATGGGCCTGATCCTGAAATTGGGCCTGACTCTAAGGATGGACCTGATGCAAAGGTTGGGCCTGACTCTAAGGATGGACCTGATGCAAAGGTTGGGCCTGACTCTAAGAATGGACCTGACACAAAAATTGGGCCAGAAGCACAGAGTGCACCAGATGCAAATATTCAGGTGTGCTCAAATGAAATAAACATCAAGCAGGAAATCGTGAACAATGAATATTTGACTTGCTTGGATGGAGCAGAAAACTTGATTCCTAAAACTTGTGATAAAAATGACAATCAACTGAATTTGTCCAATACCAAACATCAAAAAAGTCTTCTTTCATTCTATGGCAATGTTTCTCATGTTAAAAACTCAAGGCAGCATGTTAAGAAGGATGAACATTTAATTAAACAAGAATGTGTCTCACAAGAAAAATCAGCTGTACACAAGAAACAAACTAATATATTGACATTCTTTTCATCAAATGCTCAGAAAAATCAACTGGCAAACAGATTAGAACCTACAACACCAACACAGTCACATCTTCATAAACCAGAACAGCCGCAGGCAAGTTTAGAGAGTAGAAAACTTTTTCCTTTTAAAGAAAAAAACCTCAGCAATAACAAAATGCATTCACAAGTTCAAAGCAAACCACTTTGTTTGGTTAATAAAGCCAAAGTTGGATCCTGTTCACAGACAAATCACTCGCTGGTCACTGGGAATTATTCAACAGCCAGTCGAGGCAAACTAATGTTGATGAAATCCAGAGAAAAAAATTTGGAAAACCAAATCCATCTTCCTGAAGATCTGTCTGTGTTTAAAATGCCCCATGTTGGAGCTACTGGCAAAAAGGTCCCATGTTTGAAAAAGCCTCATCAGCCAACTAAACCTAAAACTTTAAAAACATGTTCGAATTCTGTGATGAAATGTGATAGTCAATTATACACTGTGGGGTGGGTGTATGGCTTTATACAAGTCTTAAATTTGACTGAAGATCCAGCCACACATTTATGCAGGTTAAGTGGCAGTATTGGCACTCTGCAAGATCTGTGTCCAATGGCAAGTCTAGAGGAGCTGGGTTTCTACACAAACCCTATGTGCAGAGGTTTATATTTCATCATTAAAATTGAAGATGGATTTATACCTCTCCGACCGTTAATCAAACAGTTTTTGACAGGTAAGTTACAGGCAAAGAAAGCGCCATCAAATCCTGCTGCCTTTAATGTTGTAGGCACATCTTCTGGATTGGATTTAAGAAAAGTTTCTCAAGGGAGCGCAAGAACTTCTGAATACGCTAAACTTCGGCAGAACATGAGCAGATCGTACTGTGATGCGTGCGGGAATGCGTACAGCTGTTCCACAGAGCAGCACCTCAATGGTGATAAGCACAGAGGTGTGGTCAACGCACCTGGGTTTTACCATAGGTTGGATGCACTTGTGAACTTAACTGGAAGCATTCACACCTTTATCAACTTTCATTTCGTAAACAAGGCTTGTGACCTTAGTGTTGGTAGCAAGGCTGGTGATGACAAGACTGGTGACCTTAATGTTGGTGGTGACAAGACTGGTGACCTTAATGTTGGTGGTGACAAGACTGGTGACCTTAATGTTGGTGGTGACAAGACTGGTGATCTTAATGTTGGTGGTGACAAGACTGGTGATCTTAATGTTGGTGGTGACAAAACTGGTGACCTTAATGTAGGTGGTGACAAGACTGGTGACCTTAATGTTGGTGGTGACAAGACTGGTGACTTTAATGTTGGTGGTGACAAGACTGGTGACCTTAATGTTGGTGGTGACAAGACTGGTGACCTTAATGTTGGTGGTGACAAGACTGGTGACCTTAATGTTGGCGGTGACAAGACTGGTGACCTTAATGTTGGTGGTGACAAGGCTAGTGAAGCCAAAGCTTGTAATGACAATGCTGTTGACAACATAATCAACAAAACTGGCAAAGACGACCTTTCAGAACACAATCCTAGTAAAACAACAGAACTGGCTGACCTATCACAATCCACTATTCAGCAGGAAATGTGTATTGCTGGAACAAACTCTCCTGAATGTAAACCAGCGACAACCGACATTGCTGTCAATATTAACATCACTCAAACCATTAAGAGTGACATGATACTACAAGCACCCAAGCTGAACCTGCTGAACACTGCAGTGGTGTACAGGAAAAGGGCATACTCTAAGATAGGCAATGTGACCTCGGATAAGCCCAGGAAAGATCAGAAATCAAAGCGGATATGCTGTAGAGCACCTTCTGACCAAGACCCATTTTTCAAACTAGCTCAGGATATAGAAAATTTCAGCATTTCTCCATGCATAAAAACACAGCAAGATAATTTATATGCAGACAAAAATCTATTTGTTGTTTCTAAGGATGAAGATAACCCCTTTAGAAGGGAAGTAACTCAATTAAAAGTAGCTCCCAAAAAAATAAAGCAAGGGAAACTACCCAAATTAGTAAGAAAGAAAAAGTCCCGTAATCCAGTAACTTACGTTTTAATAAATAACAGTGTGGCCATGGATCAGTGGAGTGAGGGTAGAGACAAGAATATTTTTTTGCAGTGCTTCGATGAACTAAAGAAAGGCATTCAACCAAACATTTTCCAATCCACTTACTGAAGTTGAACTCTACTTCACTTGCCCCATAGACCATCAGGTTTGAAAGGGAACTTTACTAAAGTTTCTTTGTGGACTAAGGTTTGACTCAAGACTAAGGCTTTATTTGATAAATCAATTTTTAGTCAATTTTTGTAAATTATTTTAATGCAAATTATGGTTTATATTTCAAATGTAATTAATGTAAAATAGTTTCTCCACATCTGTACATAATACTCCATGGTATGAATCTATTTATAATTAAAAATCTAAGAAATATAGATGCTAAAATACACAATTCTCTCAAATAAATGATACATATAAAGAGAATTAGTTTTGTTTTATATTTAACAAGTGTCATAGTGTAGTGTAGTGATGGCTTGCCATTACAATACTTTCACATTTCATTAAGTTTTTTTATCAGTTTTTTTTAATCAGTCTTATATATCACGGAGATAATTGTTTTTTTTTTTTTACTTTGTCTCAGGTAGAATAATGGGGCTATACTTATCAATTTTTATAGTAGTCCAATGCTAATGTAAAGAATCCTGCAAACCATCAGACATTCACATAAGTATACAGACTAAAAACCTTGGGTAGAATGTATGTGATTTGTCAAACTATCCAAAAGTTATCTTTCGCAGTTTAAAAACATGTAAATAAATTTTAAAAAGTAACTGGTAGTATACATTTTATTATCACATCATGTAAAAATATAGAGAACACAAGGTATATTTTTAAAATGTACAGCAGTTGCAGAAAATCTCTTGACAAAACCTAACCTTTTGATGTTATGGCATCAAATATTCTCCGAACACAGTTGCATATTGCTTGAGCTTGATCCTGAAATCCAAACAGCCATTGCACCATGAATTATGTGAATACATGTTTAGAGTACCACAGAACAAGTTACAGCATTCAATCTGAATAAATCTGAATGATACTTAAACTATAACACATACATTGAATATAATAATCTGTGTAAATAATGGCCTTTACTTTGTGCCTTGGTATTTTCTCCTATTTATAATTCTTATGGTTAACCCCAAAATAGCTATCATTAATTACCTCTGAATGGCACTGGAAAATGTAGCATTGGTACAAGTGTTTACCAACTTGTCCAATTTTGACGGCAATGTTAGGTCTGTTAAATCCATCATTGTACTGGATGAGTTGCGCTATAGTGTGGAGGGGATGTCGCTGGAGGACTTCCTAAATAATTGTTTGGAATTTGGAAACATAATCTTGAACATGGAATCAATAAGTACCTTAAAAAAACTAAAATTAAATGTTTAGAATTATAAACCCTGATGTTGGATAGTGGTTTCATAAATATAATATTTTACAATTTAGTTAAATTAATCCATCAAAGTGTTTCATATTAAGAAACATCACCTTGTATTATGGGACGGAGTGGTCTAGCGTTAGAGAGCTGGACTGCTAACCTGTAAGTCTCGAGTTCGAATCCGGGTTCAAGTCAGTAGACCGTCCCTGAGTCCGTCCAACTCTGATGGGTACCTAACTCACGTTAGGGAAAGTAAAGGCGGCTGGGCATAGTGCTGACCACACTATCTCTTCATATGCCGAGGTCACAGTGAACTCTACTTCACTTGCCCCATAGACCGTCAGGTTTGAAAGGGAAACTTTACTTTTACCTTGTATTATATATTTAGAATCAATGATACACATTACCTAACTCAAGAATTTAATAATATAAAAATATTTAGAATCAATGATACACATTACATAACTGTTAGTGTAAAACAAATGAACACACCTGGCCGCTACTGTCCATGACTTTGATGCCATGCCTCGACACAAACATGACAACTTTATTTTCTTCTGAGGCTAAAACATTCAGTCTTCCTTCAATCTTTAGAGAGATTATTTTTAAATTACTTACTGAATAACATAATGCAAAAAAATTTAAAGCTATTGTATACCTATTTTAGTGACTAAATTGAATATCTGTTAAACAAATCAGATTTAAAAAAAAAACAAGAATTTTGAAACAAAACTATAAAAATATGCATATTTAAATAACAAATGGCAAAATATTTTTTTGTGTCACTTTCTGCATCCACAAATCCCAAATCATTCAGAAAGTTAACAAGTACCTGGTTTTCTTCTATAATATCCACTAATTGTGGCTCTGTGTCTCTCTTTTTAGAGTTGGTCATGTTGATTTGATCAACTACTCCTAAGTAGTACACCTAATACAGAATACAGAAAACCTGTAACTATACTATAAAACCATAAACACTTCAGCACACCCCTCAAATTTAAAACTAATGTTGCTGACATTGTGTTGTAACTTATTTTTTCATCTGACCTGCTTTTCAAACTGAAAATAAAATGTCACCTGAAAGTGTACTCGTTGATGGAGAATTTTGTCACCCCTTTCTTTGTCATCTTTAGAGCTTAAGTTCTCATTACTTGAGCCACTCTGCAAAATCAATTTGCTGTTGTGTACAAATGTGAACACTCATTTATTTATAAAACATAGCAGGCCTCTGTATAATAAAGAATGTGTGCCAAATCAATTTGCTGATGTATACAAATGTGAACACTCATTTATTTATAAAACATAGCAGGCCTCTGTGTAATAAAGAATTTGTGTGTTAGATAACCTAATATCATAAACAACAGTATGACAAAATGAAAAATAGGTACTATTACTATTATAAAAAATATTTTATTTTACTAGGGGATTAAAATGTTGATTTCATGTTTATTTACCAGTTGGCTGTCCATTGATTCACGACTACCATTATAATAACTCATCTTGTTTGGTTTCTCATGTATTTTCATCATTTTGTAGAATTTTAGCTCCTAAGCTCGCATCAAATGTGTAGACAATGTTAAGTACCATTAACTGTAACAATACAATCAAAATAAATAATAGCTTGAATTATATGTTGCTGCTCTTTCATAAGTCTGTAGAAAAAAAAATCCATTTACTATTGGAAAGACCACTTGATAGTTTTAAGTTTTATTTTAAATACAAGCTAATTCTAATATTAATTTAAAATGATAATAAATATTAGACATTTTTATTAGACGAAGTATTAATACAATTTAATATAATTAACAAAACTAAAGTAAGAACAAATGACAATTATTAATAACAACAATATTACAATAAGTCATCAGACGCCATGAGGTAAGATAAGAATTAAGATTGTCAAACAATTAATTTTAATTCAATGCATTCCATAGTGATAGATAGTAGATAGGGGAGGCGATCCATAATAATAAAGAATTAATTATAATTATAGGGCCTATAGCCTAATTTTAATCGGCTAATAATTAATTACTAATATAGTACTGTACAATACAGTTATACATTACTTACTTATAGAATATAGATCTATTTAGCTTAGTTAGAAGATCTAGATCTATAGACCTTATTAGTATTTACTATAGTATTAGTAGTATTTAGTAGTATTAGTATTTTACTATTTTACAAATTTACACTCTTACAACAGACAGTCAGTAACAGACTAACAGTCGTCTAACCACGTACTACATACAGTTAATTACAGTAATAATAATTATTTAGGCTCTAGTAACAGAGTTTCTTCCAGGCATCTTTTTGTTTTGCCGCCGCCCCCCCCCCCCCCTCTAGAAAGTCTACCGCCTCCCGAACGAGATGGAATTTATATAGTAAACATACACTTTTACTAGTGTCCCCCCCCCCCCCCCCCCGGAGAAAAAAAAGTCTGGAAGAAACACTGCCTAGTAATATTAAATTAAAATTAGGGCTTACTATTACTAATTAATAGGTAATCTTTTGTTATAGGTACGCAAAAATCGACAACAGCTAGTAATGTACGAAAAAGTTACCTCATTGCCAAAGCTTTAATAGCAGTATATTGTGATATATTTGGGTCAAGTATTATAGATAAATGAATAATAAACCTATATCACTGGCTAAATATATCAATATAAGCCAGAAATTAACTTTAAACAGCAGTGTTTGCGAGCAAGATTTGCTATATAAACAGCAGCCATTTATAAAATAGAGTGGCTTCCCCCGAATCTCACGCAATAAGTTTACAAAAAAAATCTTAAACAAGATGAAGATGGCTGCTAGATTTAGATCTATAGTAAATGAGGGTAATTTATCGTTTTTGGTAAGTAAAATCGCCCGCTGCTAGTAATGTACGAAAAAGTTACCGTGTTTGCGAGCAGGATTTGCTATATAAAAAGCTGCCATCCATAAATTAGAGTGACTTCCCTTGAATCTTGCGCTATAAGTTTAACAAAATAAAACTTAAACAAGATGGCTGCTATAGTAAATGAGCATGGTTGCATCTGTTGGAAACATCGCTAGTCTTCATTTATTACTGAAAAGTTTTAATTCACTTGTTTAAAAACAGGTACATAAATGAAACAAGGAAACATTTTTGTATTTTTCAAAGCATAAATCCTCCTCCAAATGTGAAATAATTATTAAAATTTAAGGAGTCACCTGGTTTTCACATTACTAGTCGCGGGCGACTTTACGTACTTAAAACGATAGATTACCTAAATGAGCATGGTTGCATCTTTTGGAAACAAATTTCAAACATTGCTAGTCTTCATTTATTACTGAAAAGTTTTAAATTGTTTTTAAATTGCTTAAAAACAGGTACATAAATGAAACAAGGAAACATTTTTTGTATTTTTCAAAACATAAATCCTCCTCATAATGTGAAATGATTATTAGGCCTAAATATTAAAATTTAATAATTTAAGGCTTTTAAGTTTAAGGAGTCACCTGTTGGTAAAACTCCATTTTAGCGTATTTTATTCGCCTCTTCACGTTCACCTCAGATTGAGCGTATTTTATTATATACATATACTATACTATACACCACCAAAACACACAAAAAAACGTTAGGAAAACACTAGGATTAGTAGGTGATAGATATGGATCTACTTTTTTTTTTTATTAATGTGTGCTTTAATTAGAAAAGTTAAAAAAAAATATTATAAATAAGCATTACAGTTTCAATTAAATAGAGTGTGGTCGTCGGCAGGAAGAAAATCCCTGCATGGTCAAGGGTGCACCATGAGCTCACATTGACTTTAATTATCAGCATACGGATCATAGCTTAGGGTCATTGTGAATTCATGTAAGTTAATTTATAGAATCGTGCCTTGCAATTTTGCGTTTCTACTTTACCCATTGCCATGAAACTCTTAACTTACCCGAACATATTTTCAAGAAAAAAAAAGTTTAATCTAGATCTAGATAAATAGTAGGCTACACATTAAATATTCCCAATTTTGGATTTTTCTCAAGTATTGACAAAATTAATTAAAATAAAAACTAAACCAAAAATTAAAAAAGAATTCAAAAGGCCGTGTGATTTCCTAACGTTTTGTGTGTGTGTTTCGGTTATGTTTATAATATTAATAAAATACGCCCAACTGGAGGTGAACGTGAAGCGGGGAATAACTACGCTAAAATGGAGTAAGTATTACGGTAGTATTACCTCACCTGTTTTTCACATAGACATCTGCTCTAGAATTCTAGAAAACGATTATGATGATACTAAGAATACCACACCAACCAGTTAATAATCTTAATAACATTATTTTTTTTAGGGCAGGGGGCCTACATTATTATAATAATATTATTATTAAAATTTAATAAAATGGGTACCGTATGTGTAAAGTGTAAAGTACTGTAAAGTTTTAAAGTAGTGTAACGTCTAATAATTTTATTAATTTATAATAGGCCTAAATAATAGTAATATTACTATTAAAAATAAATATAGATCTAGATCTAGTAAGGCTACTAGAATGTATAGACTAGTTGATAATCTGTCAATAATTTTCTTTGGCCTATTTACTATTTTGTTATCTGTTCAGATGTAGATCTACCTCCTCTAGGTCTAGATCTAGAATCTAGTCTAGATCAAGATCTTTGGCCAGATACATTTAGAGCAAAGAAAGTTAAATACTTGATTAGAAAAAAATAAAAAAACAAGCCATCAAGTAGATCTAAGACCTAGAAATCTAGAATAGTTACTAGATCTATATGTTGCGATTATTTATTAGGTCAAGTTAATATAAGTCTAAATCAAAAGTATTTAACGCTCATATAAACGAAAATTATTATAACTGTAGATTTTTAAAAATTAATGCACACAAATTGTTTCATTAAATTTGTATTTTATCGCCCTCATTTTCACAAGGACAGGAACAGCTGCTTTTGTTTATACCGTTGTTAAACATGGCGTCGTCGAATAGGGATAAAAGAAGGGGCGAATTAAAGAAGAAAATGTTAGACGATGGGACTCTTAGTAAAACAGAAACTAGTACAGTTCTGTCTACAGGCTGCTCAAGTCCCGAGTTTTCATTACCAGAATCTGTAAAGATTACATCAAAAGTACCTACACCTGAACCAGTTTATGATGAACCTGTTCTTTCCGAATTAATAATAAAATCGTAAGTAGTATGTTAGGACCTATTCGTAAGTAAGTAAGTAATAATATAATACTAGATCTAATTATTTACTAATTACTAAGCTAAGATACCAGACTAAGTAGATTAATAAGTAATAACTAAGTATTTTTCAAATTATGTAACTAGAAATCTAGATCTACTTAATCAGACTTAATGGAGGCGAGCGAGTTGACGAGATTCCTTCCATAATGTTGTTGTCATGGAATAAAAACGTGCTTTTTAGATTTAGACCGTAAAAAAAAATAAAAAATAAAAACTTAAGCCTAAAATTAATTTAGAAATTTTATATTTTTAGAATAAATGCTATAAAAGTTGCAAATCCAGAGAACTTGAAAATAATTTGTTGAGTTTAGGCTACATTTCTATTTATTTTCATCAAGCCTAAGTTATAACCGGATGTTTCACTTTCGTAAGACAAATATTGATTGGCTGTACAGTAACTTAGTGATCGATAACTATTTGTTTACAAAACTTTGCAGATCAAGTTTTTAAATAAATATGCAAATTTAAAACCCCATGACCTAGTTTTCTATTTTTAGCTTACAATGTGTACAATAAAATCAATGGCGGCCTATCCAATAGCAGGATGCCATTGTTTATGTCGCCATTACACGTGAAAACCAAATTGTTTTTGCTTTTTTTTAAATTTTTATTTAGTTACCGAAAATATTATAAACATCAAATACATCTAATCTTTAGTAAAGTCCGAAAAAAACCAGACAGACAGGATTTTATAACCATATTAATTGTAACTACTCTGTGCATGATTTTTAAATGAATTTATACACCTCTCAAATACCTTTGAGACTTTTCTCGCTCGTGTCCATTGAATTGGTTCTAGCTAGATCTAGTCTAGTTTAGTACTTTTTAGTACTAGATCTAGATCTAGATCGGTAATCTATCGTTTTAGGTACGTAAAATCGCCCGCGACTAGTAATGTGAAAAACAGGTGATTCCTTAAATTTTAATAATTATTTCACATTTCGAGGAGGATTTATGTTTTGAAAAATACAAAAATGTTTCCTTCTTTCATTTATGTACCTGTTTTTAAACAATTGAATTAAAACTTTTCAATAATAAATGAAGACTAGTGATGTTTCCAACAGATGCAACCATGCTCATTTACTATAGCAGCCATCTTGTTAATTTCTTTTATTGCAAACTTATAGCGCGAGATTCAGGGGGAAGCCACTCTAACTTACATATGGCAGCTTTTTATATAGCAAACCTTACTTGCAAACACTGCTGTTTAAAGTTAATTTCTTGCCTATATTGATATATTTAGCCATTGATTTAGGTTTATTATTCATTTATCTACAATATTATACACAAATATATCACAATATACTTCTATTAAAGCCTTGACAATGCGGTAACTTTTTCGTACATTACTAGCCGCGGGCGTTTTTACGTACCTAAAACGATAGATTACCTCTAGATCTATTATCTAGAATCTAGATCCTAAGAAGTGTAAGAAAAGAAGTAATAAGAAAGGTAAAGATTGATAAAGATTCCTCTCCTTTTTAGTTACAATAGTTGATTTGAATAGTTTGACCTAACCAATCATGTTTATCATAACGATCCATATTCCATTGGGCTTGGGCAGATAAAGTTAGAGTTCATATGTATGTTTAAATAAAATAGTTAATGTTTCTTAACCTTGGCATATGAATATGAGCGGATAATATGGTCAGCACCATGCCCAACCACCTTTAATTTTCCTAAAGTGAGTTAGGTGCTCATCAGAGCTGGGTACACTGACTTAACCCTGGATTTGAACTCTAGAATTTTAGGTACGCAGTCCAGCACTCTACTGGTAAGCCACACCATCCCAGAGCCTTAGTAAAAAAGTTTATTTAATATAGTGGGGTCTAGAATAACATACACAAAATCTAACTCAGAGTTTCTTCCAGGCATCTCTTCGGGGGGGGGGGGGGGGGGGAGGGGCAAAAAAATTTGCCCCCCCCCCCCCCCCCCCCCCGAACGAAATGAAATTTATATAATTTATATAGAAAATATATACTTTTAACAGTGTCCACCCCCCGAAGAAAGTCTACCGCCCCCCTGAAAATTTCAAGTGCCCCCCCCCCGGAGAAAAAAGTCTGGAAGAAACACTCACTGATCTAGCTTAATCTACATCTGGAGATTTTAGATCTAGCATTACTATTAGTGTATTAGCCTACAGTTAAAATATCTGTACAAACTTTTTACTTAACGATTAAATAGAAAATTATTTACTGTTTTTAGTTATATTGGAGAAAAATCTAAAGGTCTTTTTGAAGGGGAAGGTGAGGCATATTTTCACAGTGGACATTATTATCAGGTATAATACATCATAAAATGTTTATTTGTTAGAAATTTAAAATTAAAATGTACACAGATCCATATCTAGATGTACAACTCAATAATTTTTACTCACCCTTTGGGCATTATAAGAATTATTTTCAAAATTTAAAAAAAAACTCTAATTACTCACTTAGTTATTCAAGATCAAACATGTTTCATTACTACTTTAGTTTAGATTATTTTTTTGTTAATTTATTTTCAATTGATAAAATTACAAAAACTCAAATCTTTATTTAGGGTATGTTTTCACAAGGCCAAATGCATGGCAGAGGTACTTATGTGTGGAATGATGGAGTTAGATATGAGGTTTGTACTCTCTCTAAGAGTAAATTATTAGGCTACTAGCGTACTCCGCCCATGTGTTGCTACAATCTAGTCCTTTTCAGAATGATGCAACATTTGATAATGTCTTCATCAACATCTCAGTAATTGTGTATTTTTGGTTGCATGACCTTGTTTTCTAAAATGGTGGTATTTAAATGTAAACAAAGCCAGCAGGTAGGGTTTAGTGCACGTTAATCACCCTCTGAAATAGTAAAGTAAAGCTACCCTCTGGGATGGCCCATGTGTCAGGGGCATCACAGGGCACTCCTAGGAGACACCGAGTATACTATTGTAGGAGTTCTCAGTGTTGAGCTTGGTTTGTTTTAATCAATGAATGTCATGTGTCACCAAGTTCTTATTGTAGGGTGATCTTTAAAATGAATGTAGACACCATAATGCTCACAGGAGCCCGGGCGCTGTAGGTCACTTGACCACTGGTGGAGCGACAGACACGCCTGATTCAATTTTCTCAACAATAAGAGCAGTCTATTGTATCTATGATGTATCACACACTTTAAAGCAAAAGTAGGTGCAATAATGCTCACTGGTGAGACCAAAGCACCAGAGGACGCTCCTGATTTGATTTAGTGAATGATTTTTTGTTATTACTTACTTTTAAATTGGTGTAACCTTAAAAAAATTAGTCTAAATTTTCATTTTAATGTTTATACAATAGGGAGATTTTTCTGAGAACCAAATCACAGGTAAAGGAGTCTACACTTGGCAAGATGGAAGGTAAATCTATTCTATTGTAGATATATTCTTAAATTTACATTTTGTAACTGAACAGTAATAGTCTTTATTTTAACATCAAAGATCATGAATAATAGCTATTGACCCAAGTGTGTGGTGTGCCTCAGGGTTGATCTAAGTGTGACAACACCTGACATTGGTTAAGAAGTTACTACTAATATAATAATATACTACTTATAAAATTCCAAAAATGTCCATTACTCCTAGTGTCTCTTGGGTGCCTTTTAATGATACAAAGCACAGTCTACCTTCTAGCCTTTAAGCATTATGCACTGCGACATAGAGCACCATATGCTTATGAATGTCAAAGATTGCTGTAACCACTATAGGTATAATGAGATGAACTAGCTACATTGATAAATTGAGTTGTACAAAACTAACTGAAGATTTAAATCTGGACTGCTATTCTACTGAGGGGAGAGTTGTTCAACCCCTACCGCACATTCCTTTTCTATGTTCTAGAAAGTAAACTTAATGGTATGATGTTTATTTTTATCCTGTATAGCAACACAATTTAAAAGATGTTTCTAATACAATTAGGTGAATGAGCTAAAAACTATAAAAGTAACCACCCTGTAAAAACCTGTATTATTACTTAAATTTCAATTTGCCTTTATTTTCATAGTACATATGATGGTGATGTTTATAATGGAAAACGACATGGATTTGGAATCTTCACATTTGCTAACAGTCCTCTTTCATACACTGGAGACTGGGTTATGGGGAAAAGACATGGAAAAGTACAGATTTCTTTCCTCACAACCAGATATTAATTATTTTAAATTTAAAATTTTTTCTATTAAAAATACTAAAACGTATTTTTTAATCTTTTTTTTTTTACACATTAATTGCAAGTATGTCTTATATTTGACAGGGCAGGATGGATTTTGACGAGGAAGGTATATCTTACTATGATGGTGACTGGGAAAATGGGATCAAACATGGCTGGGGCATCCGTCAGTATCCCTCTGGCAATGTCTACAGTGGCATGTGGTTCAACAATGTCAGGCATGGGGAAGGTACCATGAAGTGGTTGGACAGAGACCAGTGGTATACTGGTCAGTGGGAGAATGGTATTCAGGTAACACCTTCAAGCTGTCTCTTCATAAAGTATTTCATATTAAAATCCTATTCAGTTCTTAATAGGATGAAAGAAATGTTCTGATCATATGTAGCTGCAAAAATGTCAAAAATGGTGTAATTTTGAAAAGGGAGTTTCACATTTATATGAAACTTAATTAGCCCAAACCAATTACTAAAGTGTTGGTTTTTTTTTTTTTGTTAATTTAAAAAGAAACAAGATTAGAACATTTTATGGAAGAAAAAATAAATTCTTTTAGTAGAACACATTGTTAGAAATCCTATTTTAGTTTGTCCCTGGGATAATCTGTAGATTAATTTTCATTTCTCTTTATTTTTTGCATGATGCGAAATTGCTGAATTAATGTATGTTAATTGTTTTTTCAAAGAGCAAAAGAGCATTTTAAAGAAACAATTTATATGAGTGTTTAATTTTATGATTTGGACCATTTGGTTTTAATTTTAAGTCTATTTATCTACTTTATGGGAAAAATATTTTATTATAGTATGTGTTGATATTTTTTGTTCTTGTTATTAATAATCTTTGCAATAATAAATGAATAGTAAATCATGTATGTAATACCTGTGGATATCTCTAATTTAGCATGGCATAGGTCAACATGTTTGGCTACTAAAACGCATCCATCATTCCCAATATCCTCTCCGTAACATGTATGATGGTGATTTTGTGAATGGACTGCGCCATGGCTATGGAGTATTTTATTACGCAAACGGAGCTAAATATGATGGACACTGGAAAGACAATATGAAGCATGGGAAGGTAGGATTGTGTGTTTTGAACTATCCTATGTCAATGTAAATTAATAACAAATGAGGGTTATGTGTTCACGTTTAATATGTAAATTTAGTTTTGCTTTATTTACGACTGATTTTAATATGGAAAATTCTCATTTTTGTTTTATCACAATGTTTTGTTTCAGGGTAAGTTCACATTCAAGAATGGCAGAATTTATGAAGGTGTGTTTGAAAAAGATCACATCATTGAATATCCTGACTTTACAATTGATGGAATGACTTCACCTGACTTAAGTCAGATTAGAACCAGGACTCCACTTCCTACAGGTAATGCAAACACTTTATTGGTCAACCTGTTAAAATGTAGGGAATAATTCAAAATACTTTAATATGCTAGTTCATTATAGCCTTTTTCAAATACAAAGTAGGATTACATTAAGTAAAGTACCCTTTCAAGACTTACGATACATGGGGCAGATGAAGTAGAGTTCACCAGTTTCAGTGGAGTGCCTCATGGTTGAGTCAGGTACCTATCTTCTGACACAAAAAAAAAATGAGCCTGTTTGAAGAAATCTAAGCAAGCAAACCACTGGGATTTGCAAACTGGAAAATTTTAAAACAACAGTAAAAACATTTGACATTTTCTCATTTAGACAATATAATTATCTTTCCATTGTACACACATCTCTGTCAGATAATGAATGTACCCAAATCTCTGTCAGATAATGAATGTACACACAATATTTCTGGCAGATAAAGAATGTACCAAAATCTCTGTCAGATAATGAATGTACCCAAATCTCTGTCAGATAATGAATGTACACACAATATTTCTGGCAGATAAAGAATGTACCAAAATCTCTGTCAGATAATGAATGTACCCAAATCTCTGTCAGATAATGAATGTACCCAAATCTCTGTCAGATAATGAATGTACACAAATCTCTGTCAGATAATGAATGTACCCAAATCTCTCTCAGATAATGAATGTACACACAATATTTCTGGCAGATAAAGAATGTACCAAAATCTCTGTCTGATAATGATTATACACAAATCTCTGTCCTATAATAATGAATGTACCCAAATCTCTGTCAGATAATGATTATACACAAAAATCTCTGTCAGATATTGAATATACACAAATCTCTGTCCTATAATAATGAGTGTACCAAAATCTCTGGCAGATAATGAATATACACAAATCTCTGTCCTATAATAATGAATGTACCCTAATCTCTGTCAGAATGTACCACAATCTCTGTCAGATAATGAATGTACCCAAATCTCTGTCAGATAATGAATGTACCAAAATCTCTGCCAGATAATGTCTCAGTCCACTCCAATGAGAGCAGAAACACCACAGGGCCATCCTTCCAGTTAGAGATTCCAACCCTACTGGACACCATCTCACCTGGAGACACAGACCACGAAGCCAATCAGGTGATCCATTCATTAAGCTCAAGCTTTTATCATGGAAGAAATAACATCAGTTATATCCACAATTCTTATTATATTTTTTTTTCATTTTTACTTTAGTGAATTTGGTGAAATGTATATGTTATATACAAATATATACCTATATTTTGTCTAGCTGGAAACACTTATTATGTTTTAACTATTTGGTCCAGGCATTTATAAGATCTAGTACCAAGCTTAAGCTAATAGCTTTTTTTTAGAATGCAAAATAGGTTAGTGTTTGCTTTACAACTGTACATCTAGGTTTCGGTTGCAGCATGGTCTACAGAAATGCAACAATTAGGATGTTATGCTAATTCCTCCATCCCCCCCCCTGTGTTTTTCACCTGGCAGGTACTTTACGCCATCACCCGTCATGTGACTGCACTGCGACGTATCTACAACTTCTACAGCATGCTGGGCTATGAGGAGAGTGTGGACAACACTTTTATCATGAACAAGATGCAGTTCTGGAGGTTTCTCAAAGACATTGGCCTGCACCATGACAAGTTTTCTCTCACTGATATGGACAGGGTTATTGGTGAAAGTAAGTCCACAACTAAAAATAGATCATGGGGAGGTGAAAGTAAGTTTACAAGTAAAAATAGATCATGGGGAGGTGACAACAGGAAGTCCTCAAGTAAAAATAGATCATGGGGAGGTGACAACAATAAGACCTCAAGTAAAAATAGATCATGGGGAGGTGACAACAGGAAGTCCTCAAGTAAAAATAGATCATGGGGAGGTGACAACAGGAAGTCCTCAAGTAAAAATAGATCATGGGGAGGTGACAACAGGAAGTCCTCAAGTAAAAATAGATCATGGGGAGGTGACAACAATAAGACCTCAAGTAAAAATAGATCATGGGGAGGTGACAACAGGAAGTCCTCAAGTAAAAATAGATCATGGGGAGGTGACAACAGGAAGTCCTCAAGTAAAAATAGATCATGGGCAGGTGACAACAGGAAGTCCTCAAGTAAAAATAGATCATGGGGAGGTGACAACAATAAGTCCTCAAGTAAAAATAGATCATGGGGAGGTGACAACAGGAAGTCCTCAAGTAAAAATAGATCATGGGGAGGTGACAACAGGAAGTCCTCAAGTAAAAATAGATCATGGGGAGGTGACAACAATAAGTCCTCAAGTAAAAATAGATCATGGGGAGGTGACAACAGGAAGTCCTCAAGTAAAAATAGATCATGGGGAGGTGACAACAGGAAGTCCTCAAGTAAAAATAGATCATGGAGAGGTGACAACAGGAAGTCCTCAAGTAAAAATAGATCATGGGGAGGTGACAACAATAAGTCCTCAAGTAAAAATAGATCATGGGGAGGTGACAACAGGAAGTCCTCAAGTAAAAATAGATCATGGAGAGGTGACAACAGGAAGTCCTCAAGTAAAAATAGATCATGGAGAGGTGACAACAGGAAGTCCTCAAGTAAAAATAGATCATGGGGAGGTGACAACAGGAAGTCCTCAAGTAAAAATAGATCATGGGGAGGTGACAACAATAAGTCCTCAAGTAAAAATAGATCATGGGGAGGTGACAACAGGAAGTCCTCAAGTAAAAATAGATCATGGAGAGGTGACAACAGGAAGTCCTCAAGTAAAAATAGATCATGGGGAGGTGACAACAGGAAGTCCTCAAGTAAAAATAGATCATGGAGAGGTGACAACAGGAAGTCCTCAAGTAAAAATAGATCATGGGGAGGTGACAACAGGAAGTCCTCAAGTAAAAATAGATCATGGAGAGGTGACAACAGGAAGTCCTCAAGTAAAAATAGATCATGGGGAGGTGACAACAATAAGTCCTCAAGTAAAAATAGATCATGGGGAGGTGACAACAGGAAGTCCTCAAGTAAAAATAGATCATGGAGAGGTGACAACAGGAAGTCCTCAAGTAAAAATAGATCATGGGGAGGTGACAACAATAAGTCCTCAAGTAAAAATAGATCATGGGGAGGTGACAACAATAAGTCCTCAAGTAAAAATAGATCATGGGGAGGTGACAACAGGAAGTCCTCAAGTAAAAATAGATCATGGGGAGGTGACAACAGGAAGTCCTCAAGTAAAAATAGATCATGGGGAGGTGACAACAATAAGTCCTCAAGTAAAAATAGATCATGGGGAGGTGACAACAATAAGACCTCAAGTAAAAATAGATCATGGGGAGGTGACAACAGGAAGTCCTCAAGTAAAAATAGATCATGGGGAGGTGACAACAGGAAGTCCTCAAGTAAAAATAGATCATGGGGAGGTGACAACAGGAAGTCCTCAAGTAAAAATAGATCATGGGGAGGTGACAACAGGAAGTCCTCAAGTAAAAATAGATCATGGGGAGGTGACAACAATAAGTCCTCAAGTAAAAATAGATCATGGGGAGGTGACAACAGGAAGTCCTCAAGTAAAAATAGATCATGGGGAGGTGACAACAGGAAGTCCTCAAGTAAAAATAGATCATGGGGAGGTGACAACAGGAAGTCCTCAAGTAAAAATAGATCATGGGGAGGTGACAACAATAAGTCCTCAAGTAAAAATAGATCATGGGGAGGTGACAACAGGAAGACCTCAAGTAAAAATAGATCATGGGGAGGTGACAACAATAAGTCCTCAAGTAAAAATAGATCATGGGGAGGTGACAACAGGAAGTCCTCAAGTAAAAATAGATCATGGGGAGGTGACAACAGGAAGTCCTCAAGTAAAAATAGATCATGGGGAGGTGACAACAGGAAGTCCTCAAGTAAAAATAGATCATGGGGAGGTGACAACAATAAGTCCTCAAGTAAAAATAGATCATGGGGAGGTGACAACAGGAAGACCTCAAGTAAAAATAGATCATGGGGAGGTGACAACAATAAGTCCTCAAGTAAAAATAGATCATGGGGAGGTGACAACAGGAAGTCCTCAAGTAAAAATAGATCATGGGGAGGTGACAACAATAAGTCCTCAAGTAAAAATAGATCATGGGGAGGTGACAACAATAAGTCCTCAAGTAAAAATAGATCATGGGGAGGTGACAACAATAAGACCTCAAGTAAAAATAGATCATGGGGAGGTGACAACAGGAAGTCCACAAGTAAAAATAGATCATGGGGAGGTGACAACAATAAGACCTCAAGTAAAAATAGATCATGGGGAGGTGAAAGTAAGTCCACAAGTAAAAATAGATCATGGGGAGGTGAAAGTAAGTCCACAAGTAAAAATAGATCAGAGGAGATAAAAGTTATTTTCTTTTTTTTTAAAGAAGTTTTTGAAACATTTTGTTGTTTAAAGAATACTTTTAGCTAATTCACTAAAACAGGAGGAGAAAAAAAACAAGTCAGATAACATTCACTTTCACAAGCTGATATTTTAAAACCTTCTTATGTGAAGTCAAATATAGGCAGAGAGAAAAAAAATTAACTTTTTAGCTTGAAATAATCCTTACTAATATGGTTATTAAAGTATAATTCTTTTTCCATAGCATGACTGATTAAGTCATTCCAACTCTGGTGGTTAACTAAGATTTTCAAAATAAATTTGTGCTGTAATTGTAGACAGAAGTCAAATACTTGTTTCCTTCTGTAGGCTACAGCAAGTCCAAATTTGACCTTCACAATCCTTATGAGAAAATTCTACAGCGCCAGTTTATCAACTATTTGGTCATCTTAGCACACCTGGTTTATAAGAAGGAATATTATAAAAAAATGTAAGTAGTTTTTTGTTGGGTAATGTTAGCAACAAACATACAAAAAAAATTACTGTTATTTACAAGAACCATTATTATTGTTTTATAATTAGTGTTTTTATAACTCTGGAAAGAATATATTTGTGTATACTAGGAATGATCAAATGTTAAAAAGAACTTTGTTATTCAGGATGAATGGGCCACTGTTGGAGCATTGTTTTTCTCGGTTGATGACTGAAAGAATTCTTCGTTATGCCTGTTTGGTTAAAGGTATGTTTCGTGTAACTTAGAGTTGAAGCTTGTGGGATTAAAGGAAGCAACTCTACACAAATATGGAGAAATATTTTTTTTTGGTTGATAGCACACAAAAAGTAATTAAATTACATATTTTTATACACATTTAATTATAGCAACAACTTGTTAATTGTCATTACCAGGTCCACTGTATAAAGAGATTAGAAGGGCAACCAATGCACTGGTGCATATGGATCAAGCTTATGAGATTTATCAGGCCATTTGTACTCCAGCCAAGGTGAGATATTTTTAGTAACATTTACTGCTGAACTGCAATGGTATATTTCACAGGCTAGAATTGTTGATGGGAGCTAATGGTGACTTCTCAATCTGTTACTGGGGCTTACTGTTGTACTCCAGCCTAGATAACACAGTGGTTAATGTTACAGGATAAGCAGTCTTGAGGTCAGGGAGAGCGCAGCAATTTTTTCTGTACACAACTGTTTTTAATTGCGAGTTCTGTGTTTTAAGGAGAAGGAGAGGCCTTGAAATGTTTCTCTAAGCTGCAGTTTCCATAACAGTGACCAAACAGCTAGCACCAGGCTATGTTTACTGAAGTCAAATCACACAACAAGCCAGCTGCTGACAATGTATTAGAAATGTATTAGAAACAGAAAGTTGACTTATAAAAAGTTGGAGTTTAGTTTAGTTAGTCATTTTCAAATTAATTTTGTATTAGTGAATAATTAAGTATCCTTTTTTTTACTATTCTTTTATGTAAATCAGACAAAAATTATGTTTATTAAAAATGTAAAAACCTATGGTGTAAAACAAAGCAAATATGTTATGTTTTTCTTGTACCTAAATAATATTTTTTTTATTTTCAGAAACCTCCTAAAGAAAATGTTCTAAAAATGAGATCATTTCTGTTCTTCCTGAAGGTAATTTAATTTATATCAACCTTAAATTTAGAATCAATAATTCAGCTTTAAATTTAAAACCAACTTTAAAATTTCTCTGTTCAGTATTATAATTATATGCTTAATATTACAAAGTATGGGCTTTAAAAGTTTGTTAAAATTTCTATGAATTGTTTCAGTCATCAGAATAATCATAAAACATGTATACTAGTTGGCTTTTTAGATAGTTTACAGTTGGACATTGTTCCCATCAAAGTTTTATTCATCTCGTTTCATGCATTCACAGTGTTCCAGACTTATTTCTCCGGGGAGGGGCACTTGAAATATTCACGGGGGGGGGGAGGGGGTTAGACTTTCTTCGGCGGGGAGGGGGGGGGGGGGCGGACACTGTTAAAAGTATATATTTTCTATATAAATTATGTAAATTTCATTCGTTCGGGGGGGGGGGGGGGGGGGAATTTTACCGCCCCCCCCCCCCCCCCCCCGAAGAGATGCCTGGAAGAAACTCTGTGCATTCATATTACAGTCAATATATACAAGTTTATTGATACGCCTTTCTTTGATGCAATGTATTTAAAAACATACTTGAAGAGAAATACATTAAAGTTTGTTTACGGTTTTAAAATATTATAAAATGAAGTCTTTAAGTTTAAATTAATTTGCGTATATTTTTATAATAAATGTTACAAGAGGTAGGACTTTATGTTTTTAATAAAATATTACAGGAGATTGGGCTTGTCAATGAAGACCTGACAGCCAAGAAAGTCATTGAAATTCTCGGTGCTGACAATCCCAGGGTCTGTGATGGTGAGGGCTGTTTTAACCTGGAGTTAGAGGTAAGAAATGGGCAGGGTGAGGGTTGTTTTAATGTGGAGGGGTGAGGGCTGTTTTAACCTGGAGTTAGAGGTAAGAAATGGGAGGGGTGAGGGCTGTTTTAACCTTGAGTTAGAGGTAAGAAATGGGAAGGGTGAGGGTTGTTTTAACCTGGAGTTAGAGGTAAGAAATGGGAGGGGTGAGGGCTGTTTTAACGTGGAGAGGTGAGGGTTGTTTTAACCTGGAGTTAGAGGTAAGAAATGGGAAGGGTGAGGGCTGTTTTAACCTGGAGTTAGAGGTAAGAAATGGGAAGGGTGGGGGTTGTTTTAACCTGGAGTTAGAGGTAAGATATGGGAGGGGTGAGGGCTGTTTTAACCTGGAGTTAGAGGTAAGAAATGGGAGGGGTGAGGGTTGTTTTAACCTGGAGTTAGAGGTAAGAAATGGGAAGGGTGAGGGTTGTTTTAACCTGGAGTTAGAGGTAAGAAATGGGAGGGGTGAGGGCTGTTTTAACCTGGAGTTAGAGGTAAGAAATGGGAAGGGTGAGGGTTGTTTTAACCTGGAGTTAGAGGTAAGAAATGGGAAGGGTGAGGGCTGTTTTAACCTGGAGTTAGAGGTAAGAAATGGGAGGGGTGAGGGCTGTTTTAACCTGGAGTTAGAGGTAAGAAATGGGAAGGGTGAGGGTTGTTTTAACCTGGAGTTAGAGGTAAGAAATGGGAAGGGTGAGGGCTGTTTTAACCTGGAGTTAGAGGTAAGAAATGGGAAGGGTGAGGGCTGTTTTACCCTGGAGTTAGAGGTAAGAAATGGGAAGGGTGAGGGCTGTTTTAACCTGGAGCTAGAGGTAAGAAATGGGAGGGGTGAGGGCTGTTTTAACCTGGAGCTAGAGGTAAGAAATGGGAAGGGTGAGGGTTGTATTAACCTGGAGTTAGAGGTAAGATATTGGAGGGATTGGGAGGACTTAAACATTATCATTACTATTTTCATCTTAAGTGAGTAAAATAAAAAATACTGGATAAAATCTTATATTGTTAATGACGAAAACGTAACTTAAAACTTTCATAACATTATCAATTTCATTATAATGTCTGTCGTATTCTTGTGTTGATTTACTAATAAACTGGTCAAAAATTAATAAAATTTAGACAAAGTAATCCATTAAAATTGTGTACAATTAATTTTATTTTTATAGAATGCCAATTGACTTTGTTGAAATTTGAATATTGTTCTACAGATGACTTTCCTTATACCAATTGACTTTGTTGAAATTTGAATATTGTTCTACAGATGACTTTCCTTATACCAATTGACTTTGTTGAAATTTGAATATTGTTCTACAGATGACTTTCCTTATACCAATTGACTTTGTTGAAATTTGAATATTGTTCTACAGATGACTTTCCTTATACCAATTTACTTTGTTGAAATTTGAATATTGTTCTACAGATGACTTTCCTTATACCAATTGACTTTGTTGAAACTTGAATATTGTTCTACAGATGACTTTCCTTATACCAATTGACTTTGTTGAAATTTGAATATTGTTCTACAGATGACTTTCCTTATACCAATTGACTTTGTTGAAATTTGAATATTGTTCTACAGATGACTTTCCTTGAGTTTTTGGAAGCTCTGATCTCTTGTGCAGAAGTTTTTGTGACTGAGAAGGTCGTCCATGACCCGACGACCCCGCGCTACTCTGTTGGGACCAGTCATGAATCAAACGTGTACTCTGTCCCTGCGTCAGGCACTCACATTTCTGGGTCACGCGTCTCAACTAGGATACATAGCCAGGTTAGTAGTGGGGTCTCTTTAGTCAGGTTAGTTGTGGGGTCTCATTAGCCAGGTAGTTGTGGGGGTCTCATTAGCCAGGTAGTTGTGGGGGTCTCATTAGCCAGGTAGTTGTGGGGTCTCTTTAGTCAGGTTAGTAGTGGCTTCTCTTTAGCCAGATTGTAGTGGTTCTAATTAACCAGGTTGTAATGGGTTTCGTTTACCAGGTTGTAGTGGGGTCTCATTAGCCAGGCTAGTAGTGGCGTCTCATTAGCCAGGCTAGTAGTGGCATCTCATTAGCCAGGCTAGTAGTGGTGTCTCATTAGCCAGGCTAGTAGTGGGGTCTCATTAGCCAGGCTAGTAGTGGGGTCTCATTAGCCAGGTAGTTGTGGGGTCTCATTAGCCAGGCTAGTAGTGGGGTCTCATTAGCCAGGTAGTTGTGGGGTCTCATTAGCCAGGCTAGTAGTGGGGTCTCATTAGCCAGGCTAGTAGTGGGGTCTCATTAGCCAGGTAGTTGTGGGGTCTCATTAGCCAGGCTAGTAGTGGGGTCTCATTAGCCAGGCTAGTAGTGGGGTCTCATTAGCCAGGCTAGTAGTGGGGTCTCATTAGCCAGGCTTGTAGTGGGGTCTCATTATCCAGGCTAGTAGTGGGGTCTCATTAGCCAGGTTAGTAGTGGGGTCTCATTAGCCAGGTTAGTTGTGGGGTCTCCTTAAACAGGGAATAATGGGGTCTCATTAACTTGGTAGTAGTGGAATGTATACTATCGGTACGCCTTACAAAAGAAACATGTTTAGCATTTAATGAAAGAATTCCAGACCTCTTTAAGCCTGAATACTTACAAGTTTCATGTCCCACCAGAGCAACCATGAAGAGAAAGAAGCTGAGCCACAGACCCAGGCTACCACCCCCATACAGCCCTCCGCCACCCACAGTACCACCCAGTCTGTCACTATGTATACACCCACCGCACCCACCAGTAAGACAGAAACTGGCTCAAGGAAAAATGGGGTAGGTCTCCCCTAGATACCTCACTTAATCCTTGCCTCATTTGTTCCATATCTCTTCTCACAGTGAGTTACCTCAGTTAATCCTTATCTCATTTGTTCCATCTCTCTTCTCCCGGTTACCTCAGTTAATCCTTATCTCATTTGTTCCATCTCTCTTCTCCCAGTTACCTCACTTAATCCTCATCTCCTTGTTTCCACTATCTCTTTTCCTCCGCTACTTCTAACCAATTATTAGAAAATTTTCCACAAAAACTTTCATAAGTTCTAAGTATTGTCAACCTCCCTACATCATTACAGCTGATAATGTTTTTATCTTTTAAAATACAGAGCTTTGTAGAACCAAGTTCAATTAACCTCAGTGGTAATCAACGGCGCAGCAGTTTAAAGACAGGTAATTCATTCATTTTCAAGGCATTTTCTTGTCTGTAAAAAAATGTAATTATTCAAATTTACCTTGTTACGTTTTTTTTCTTAATTACACCATTGTTTTTTGGGTTTGGATCAGAATATTGACCTTCTGTCAATTAACCCCAGGTCATTCCCACAGGGTGGGGATAAAATTTGTACAAAATTGTATGGATTAGAACCTTATATTCCATGTGGGAAGGTGAGATGTAAATTAAAATACCCCCACCATTAAGAGTGTGTTTCTAGTTGAGATGTACATTAAAATACCCCCACCATTAAGAGTGTGTTTGTAGTTGAGATGTACATTAAAATACCCCCACCATTAAGAGTGTGTTTCTAGTTGAGATGTACATTAAAATACCCCCACCATTAAGAGTGTGTTTCTAGTTGAGATGTACATTAAAATACCCCCACCCTTAAGAGTGTGTTTCTAGTTGAGATGTACATTAAAATACCCCCACCCTTAAGAGTGTGTTTCTAGTTGAGATATAAATTGAAATGCCCCTACCATTACCAGTGTTACTTCCAGACTTTTTTTCTCCAGGTGGGGGCAGGGGCACTTGAAATATTTGGAAGGGGTGGGGGGAGAAGGACTAAAATTTCCAGGGGGACAAACACTGTTAAAAGTATATATTTTCTATATAAATTCCATTTTGTTCGGTGGGGTGGTAGACTTTTTTCGGGAGGGAGGGAGGGGGGGGGTGGCTCCGCCCCTCCTTGAAGAGATGCTTGGATGCTAGACTTTTACCTGTGTTGTGTGTGCAGGTGAGGAGACGAACCGAATCTCTGACAGCAGCAGGTGTGTGTCCGTGGCACCTCAGGTGAAATCTGTGGAGGAGATGGCAGCGGAGATGGAGGGGCATACTGGTGAAACTGCTGGAAGTGAGTGGTCTAGTGGTAGCGCACATGTTAGATACAGAGTTCATGTGTTACATGCAGGGTTCATATGTTATATACAAAGTTCATATTTTGTATGCAGGGTTCACATATTATATGCAGGGTTCATATGTTATATACAAGGCTCGTATGTTGTATACAGAGTTCATGTTTTGTATACAGGGTTCATATATTATATGCAGGGTTCATATGTTATATACAGGGTTCATATGTTATATACAGGGTTAATATGTTATATACAAGACTTGTATGTTGTATACAGAGTTCATGTTATACTCAGGGTTCATATGTTATACTGAGGGTTCATATGTTATACTCAGGGTTCATATGTTATACTGAGGGTTCATATGTTATACTCAGGGTTCATATGTTATACTCAGGGTTTATATCTTATGTACAGGGTTCATATGATGTGACACAGCTGTTGAAATGTTAACATTTATATAAAGGACTCATATTCTAGTTAATTAAACCGAAGTAATCGAGAGGCAATGTACATTTTACACACAGGGTGATATCCAATATAGAACATAAACATACGAATTCTTCTTATCACTCCTGCATCAGACGGAACGTTGGGATGTAAAAAAAACTAATATAGGAGACAACGTTTTTCTTTTTAAAATCCAATATTTAAGATGAATTACCTCCCCTATTAACAAACGAGGTTGGGTCACCAATGCATAAGGTGTAAGGAGTGGTTTAGTGTGAAGTGACATTACACAGTGTTAGATTACAATGAATAACGTATTTTTGTTTTAAAATATCCCAACTATGACCTCATACGATTACCTCATACGATTACTTCATACGATTACCTCAATCATACTACTGATCCAGTCGTTTGACTTTAAATAGAAAAAAAAACATTTACAATGGCGTCATCTGCTCCATTCAGGCTACCGAAGAGGTGGATGCTTTCTACTGGATTAAATGTCACACATCATTGAGTTGAATTTTAGGATTTTATATCACGAACTGTGTTTCATTCAGGGGAGGGGGCGGACACCAGTAAAATTATATATTTTCTATATAAATTCTGTTGTGTGGTGGGGGGTGGAGGTGTTGGTTGACGTGCTTGAAGAGGGGGTTCGGAGTAAAGAAGTCGTCGATGTCGTCGTCTCCCCTCCTGAGATGCCTGAAAAAAACTGATTGCAAGGCGGCTTCACAAACCTTGGTTCCTGCATAGAACAGGTTTTTCGATCAAATCCACCCCAATTGATTAACTGATTTTGTTTTTAGTCAGTCCTGAGCAGAGGCGTAGCGACCCTTCCCGGCGCCAGGGGACAAACTTTCAATTTGCACCCTCCCACCTCAAACTTTCGATTTGCTCCCTCCCACCTCCCTCAGACTTTCGATTTGCACCCCCTTTTAAACTTTCACTTTGTTTCTCCAACCCATATGCCGCCCCCCCCCCCCTCGCTACGCCTCTGGTCCTGAGTACGCTCTCTTGCACCAAAATACACTCATACTTAGATTGGTGATTGTGACTATAACTACAGATGTCGGTCTATCTTAGTAGAAACATCGCATGTAACTTAACACACAGAAACAACACAACTAGTAACATAGGCGGTGTATCCTGCAAGGGAAGCAACCCAAGGTTGTTTTTCCCGAAAATTATGTGATCTATTATTAAGGAAAACTAGGCGGAAATGGAAAACGGGGATGACTACTAAGACTAGTTCCCCCAGTGAAGATAGTCAATCACCAATCTTTTCAATAATTCAACACCACTCTATAATAGCTTTATGTTAAACTATACTCACATAAAAATGTAAGCACCAGCACCTGAGACTCTTAAAAAACTAGCCGTGTGCCCTGTGTCGACTGAGTATAATTTAGCACATTTGTTAGCTTCAGATGAACAAGTATAGCTTTCATTTACCGACAACTATAGCCTGTTATGTAATACGAGCCGACCCGCGGCGTATCATACGCCGCTATTTAGTTGTTGTTTTTTCTACTTTTCAGTAATTCATAATTTGTGAATTCGACAGTACCAACGCTGACACTGAAAATATTTCTTTAAAACACTATAAGTAGCTCGTTAAGGACCATAACCCCCCCTCCCCCCCTTTCCTCTCCCCCCCCCCCCCCCCCAACGTTTAAAATCGTTTCAAACTAAATTATCTGCCCCTAATAGCCGTCACGAAACCCGACTCCACGAAGGTAAACATAGCGTGAACCACAGCTCACTAAGACCATGTAGGGGTGGGGATGGTAGGGAGCGCGTTTACAGCTTGTTTTCTAGCGTCTCCCAGAAGAGAATTATATATATATAGATAGATAGATAGATACCTTCGTGAAATTCCGGAATAACTTTTTAAACAAAGTATAATCACGAACTTTTATATCACCTTCTGTTTCAGTTTGTCCGTAATCTAATTTGCAATTCTATCCCCTCTGTCCGTGTTTTGAGATAACATTACAGATTTGATTGGCACTGTCACATTTGCGCACTTAAACTGACCTCTACGTCTGCTTTCACTGCTCATGGTTGTCTGTTTATAGCAGCAGTTTACGTGGTGGTTGCCAGGCAACCAGCCAGCCGTAGTGACCAATAGTGTATTCAAACATAGGTCAAAATTAGTCTCCCCCACCCTCCACTCCTATTGATAACCCACATTGCTGATTGGGATAAATTACATAAAGTGCTAATTGGGATAAATTACATAAAATAATCACAACTTTATAATGACCACCAAATATTACAATAATTTAATCGAGTCTTGTAGATTTATATGACAAGTGATTGTCAACCAAATCTTTATACGAACAGTTACGTCCCTTACGTAACTATGATTAATCATTAATTAAGTTCTATCCATTTTTTTTAGTTATGTGCATTTTTAAGTTCTTGCCATATCTTATTTATATACATGTAGGTCCGTGTATATCATAGTTCTGAGAATATAACTAATAAATTTAAATAAATTTAATTCAGATGTATATTCACAAAAAAACGTTCCTTACAGGTCCTTTCAACAACAGCAATTTACAACATTCGTATTGTTGGATCTCACAATACCCACTCACAAAACCATTGTTGGTCCTCCCACTATATACTCCATCACAATACCACTGTTGGTCCTCCCTAAATACCCTATTACAATACCATTGTTCGGATATCTATATACCCCATCACAATACCGTCCTAGTTGGATCTCAACAATACTACCCTCTCACAATACCATTGTTGGTCCTCCCTATTTATCCCCATCACAATACCATCCTAGTTAGACCTCACCATACCCTCGCACATTACCATTGTTGGTCCTCCCTATATACCCATCACAATACCATCCTAGTTAAATCTCTCAACAATACCCCATCACAATACCATCCTAGTTAGACCTCACCATACCCTCGCACATTACCATTGTTGGTCCTCCCTATATACCCATCACAATACCATCCTAGTTAGATCTCAACAATACCCCATCACAACACCATCCTAGTTAGATCTCACCATACCCCATCACAACACCACCCTAGTTAGATCTCACCATACCCTCTCACATTACCATTGTTTCTCCATTCTTCAGCTTCAGATAACGAAGCTGCCGTCGACGAGATGCACGATGAGGAAGAAGGCGACGAAGATGACGAGCTATCCGACCTTGACCCTGAGACCAAGGCCTTCAACTTCTGGACCCACCAGATCCACATCTTCTTCGTGCGGAAATTTTTCCCCCACGCCGAACGCTATCTCAGCGTGCTGAAAGCCGAGCGCATCCGGCGCCTGAACGAGTCCAAACGGAGATCTTCCGTACTTTCCCGAGACGCGGCGGAACTTGCCGGACTCCGCTTCGAACCCTGCATCCTTGAGGAATCCCAGTTTTAGTTTTGTTTACAGTTGATACAAATCTAGATCTATATAATTAGTCAAGTGCTCCTTATAGCGCGTATACATTGCACAAATATGTTGCTATTTTAAAATTTTATATTAATTTAAATATGTTGATTTTAAAGTTTTCATTAGATTAATCAATTATTCATTGTATCAAACCAGTGGCGTAGCGAGGTCGGGTGTCACCCGGTGCGGCACTTAATGGTGTCACCCCCCCCCCCCCCCCAGAGGCGTTGCGACCCTTCCCGGGGACAAACTTTCAAATTTTCGATTTGCACCCCCCCTCAAACTTTCGATTTGACCCCCCCCCCCCTCAAGTTTTCGATTTGCACCCCCCCCTCAAACTTTCGATTTGCACCCCCCCCTCAAGTTTTTCTCTCTATATTTTGCTATTTTTTGTCTTGGTGTCACCCCCCTAAATGGTGTCACCCGGTGCGGTCCGCACCCCCCGCCCCCCCCCCTCGCTACGCCCCTGTATCAAACAATTTAGTTTGGCGTTAATAGACCACAGCATAAATTCATACAGTTTCAATTACCTATAACCTTGGTAGGATACAAACGCCATGGGGTACATTTAAAATACAAGAGTAAGCTCCTATCATAAGATGGTATTGTGTTTTAACTACTTTATAAATGGAAGTAAAGAATATTATCATGGACTAAAATTTGTATTTTTAAATACTTCTCTCTTTAAAATTATTATTATTTATGAAGGCGAATGCCTATTTATTAGTAAATTTTAAATACATTTCTTTAAGAAATGACTAATAAGAAAATCATAAAATGTTAGATAAAAGTTAATAATTTAAGTTAGTAAATGCTTGACTTGTTTTATATATATATTTATTTAAATTATACTAATAACTGAATTTATATCTGCAGATTTTAACTGCTTTGTGATATTGTATAAAAACTTTTTACATCAAAATATAGAGACTGGTTTTAATTTTTTGTTTGTACTAATATATTTCATGGTGTACAAGTGGATGTGTCCATGTTTTTGTGTACATGTATATGTTTGTAAGTAGTTTGGATACTTTTGTTTTTGTGGTCTAAGTCATTTTTGCTTGTGGTAGTGACACATTAATTCTGATGGTGACATGTTAATTCATATGGTGAGACATTAATTCTGATGGTGACTCGTTATGGTGGTGACTCATTAATTTTGATGGTGACATGTTAATTCTGATGGTGACACGTTAATTCTGATGGTGACACGTTAATTCTGATGGTGACTCGTTATAGTGGTGACACATTAATTCTGATGGTGACACGTTAATTCTGTTGGTGACATGTTATTTCTGTTGGTGACATGTTAATTCTGATGGTGACACATTAATTCTGATGGTGACTCGTTATGGTGGTGACTCATTAATTTTGATGGTGACATGTTAATTCTGATGGTGACACGTTAATTCTGATGGTGACACGTTAATTCTGTTGGTGACACATTAATTCTGATGGTGACTCGTTATAGTGGTGACACATTAATTCTGATGGTGACATGTTAATTCTGATGGTGACATGTTAATTCTGATGGTGACACGTTAATTCTGTTGGTGACACGTTAATTCTGTTGGTGACACGTTAATTCTGATGGTGACATGTTAATTCTGATGGTGACACGTTAATTCTGATGGTGATATGTTAATTCTGTTGGTGACACGTTAATTATGTTGGTGACACGTTAATTATGTTGGTGACTCGTTATGGTGGTGACACATTAATTCTGATGGTGACACGTTAATTCTGATGGTGACACGCTAATTCTGATGGTGACACATTAATTCTGATGGTGACACATTAATTCTGATGGTGACACGTTAATTCTGATGGTGACACATTAATTCTGATGGTGACACACATGCATTCTGATGTAAAGCCTGACAGTAGCCCACCCAGTCTGACACTAAATCGGATGGTGACACAATCCGTCTTACATGATGGTAACATACTCAGCCATATACAAAGTGTTGGTGAAACTATTGGCCACTATGTCTACTCTTTATCACGCCCCTATTGTGATACATGCGATTGGTCTCATATGCCTATGGAAACATACACACACTGAATTGTAGATGAACACACCCGGCCCTCTCTAGATACACTAAAGTAATGTTCACTGTAACATTTTGACCTTTTGATTGACCTTTCCTGTAGGATTTTAACGTGTTCAATGACCTCCACTTATTTAAATACCCTATATCACCCTCCACTTGAAGCTTTTGATGTGTTAAATGACCTTCCCTGCACTAATTAGACGTGTAAAAATGACCTTTACTGCTTTAATTTTCGTGTTCAATGACCTTCACTTGAAAGATTTTAACACCCTAAATGACCTTCACTGGTTTGATTTTACGTGTTCAATGACCTTCAATATTTTGATTTGACGTGTTAAATGACCTTCACTGCTTTAATTTAATGTGTTCAATGACCTTCACTTGAACGATTTTAACGCCCTAAATGACCTTCACTGGAAGAATTGAACGTGGTAAAAAGTACAGCGCCAAGGAAAAGACAGGGCTCAGTTCAGACCGGAAATGACGTGGCAAGCGTCTCTCTTTGATCCCGCGCCATTAAACCACGGGAGCAGTCGACTCAAGGAAGCTGCAAATTAGCGTCCTACAGTTTGTTGTCAGGGCGGCATGTGGCACAGCAATACAAGTTTCTGTTGTGGGGTTTGTTCTAGCTCGCTGAGAGGTTCTGTGGCTATTTGGTAGGGTTCGTTCTAACTCGATTAGACGTTGTTTGGTGACTATTTGTTGGGGTTCGTTCTAACTTGATTAGAAATTATTTGGTGGGGTTCATATTTGTTTGACAGGACGTTTTGTGGCTGTTTTGTAGGGTTCGTTCTAACTTGATTAGAAGTTCAGTGACTATTTGTTGGGGTTCGTTCTAGCTCGATTAGAAGTTATTTGGTAGGGTTCATACTTGCTTGTTGGAAGTTTTGTGGCTATTTTGTAGGGTTCGTTTTAACTTGATTAGAAGTTCAGTGACTATTTGTTGGGGTTCGTTCTAGCTCGATTAGAAGTTATTTGGTAGGGTTCATACTTGCTTGTTGGAAGTTTTGTGGCTATTTTGTAGGGTTCGTTCTAACTTGATTAGAAGTTATTTGGTGGGGTTCATACTTGTTTGACAGGACGTTTTGTGGCTATTTTGTAGGGTTCGTTCTAACTTGATTAGAAGTTCAGTGACTATTTGTTGGGGTTCGTTCTAGCTCGATTAGAAGTTATTTGGTAGGGTTCATACTTGCTTGTTGGAAGTTTTGTGGCTATTTTGTAGGGTTCGTTCTAACTTGATTAGAAGTTCAGTGACTATTTGTTGGGGTTCGTTCTAGCTCGATTAGAAGTTATTTGGTAGGGTTCATACTAGCTTGTTGGAAGTTTTGTGGTTATTTTGTAGGGTTCGTTCTAACTTGATTAGAAGTTATTTGGTGGGGTTCATACTTGCTTGATGAGAAGTTTTGTGGCTATTTTGTAGGGTTCGTTCTAACTTGTTGGGAGGTGTGTGTGCATTCCTCGCACTCTATTTGTTAAGGCTAGGGTAAGATTTTTGTTAGGGCTATGATATGACTAAGTTTAGGGCTTTGGTATAACTAGGACAAGAGTTAAGACTATGGTATGACTAGGCTAGAGTTAGGGCTATTGTATGACTAGGACGAGAGTTAGGGCTATGGTATGACTAGGATAGAGTTAGGGCTATGGTAGAACGGGTTGGATTAGTGATAAGGTTAGCGATCACCCTTTTTTTAGAAGATTCATTTATTGTGACATTATCCGTCACATCTATTAAACGTACCCCAACATTTTTAACTTCCTTGTTCTGCAAATAACAACACGACTGTGGCAATATGACCCGATGCTTCAGTCTTTGTTTTCGTAAATTATTTATTATGCAACAAACGTCTACATCTACATCCACACATATTTGAAACGTAATGTGAGTCAGGTCAATACAAAATTGAAAACGTATTAAAACAACAGACGTATCACATGGCTTTACGACAAGGAAAGTGATATGTAACAATTGAAAACGTATTAAAACTACAGACGTATCACATGGCTTTACGACGGGGAAAGTGATCTGTAACATATCACAGAGCCCGACGTCCGCTTTCCTCATTTCTGCTCGTGACCTGCGCGCGCAGCACTGTTTATCCCACGTGAGCAGGCGCTAGGCGCGTGCGTCTGCCACTGTTGTACAGAGGGGGAAAAATCTGGTCATACCTCTCAAGTCTGTATCATGTGACACCCGTCTCCCAATCTAACAGTGATTAATTTATTTTCTAGAATAAGGTAAGACATTTTTATAGTTTTTATTCTCAACACATTATAACATTTTTTAACGAAATTCTTTTTTTTCTTCTAATTATATGTATTCTAATCATATATAGTCTATTAAAAGTTTATCTCAAAGATATTTATACAAAACTTTTTATCTCTGTTCAAATCACTTAGTTTTAAAAGGCAGATATGTAATGTTATATTTACTACTAGCGTACCCGTCCCCGCGCGTTGCTGCGGGAATAGAAGATTAAATGAATTTTATGGTAAGCTCATTTCTTTGGCGTGGTTTGAATGTTACGCAGAGAATGGTTAATTGCTTTGGTTTTAGGGAGTTGATTATAATGTTTTTAATTAAAAATTATAAGAAAAGTTTTTAAGATGGTTGCAGTAATATTTGTTACCATACTTGCACTATAGGAGTAGTTATAAAGAAGTGGCGTTAAAATAGTAGCGAATGTCTTACTTACGTCACAAAATGTGTCGCTTACTTTGGCGTGAATACCTTGCTTACATTACCAAATGTGCCGAATAGCCTATATATAATGGGTGCATTACTTACATCACCAAATGTAGCAATTACTTTAAGTGAATACCTTTCTTGTAGCAACACAAATATCTTGCTAGCGTCAACAATTGTGTCGCTTACTTCAAGTGAATACCTTGTGTACATCAGCAAATGTGCCAATTATTTTAAGTAAATACTTTGCTTACATCCACAAAAGTGTCGCTTACCTAGGCGTGCATATCGGACTGTAAGTGAATACCTTGCTTACATCAGAGGAATGAGCCCATTACTTAAAATAAATATCATACTTACATAACCAAATGTGCCAACTATTTTAAGTAAATACCTTGCTTACATAACCA